TAATGGAGAATCAAATGTAGAAGAAAATGGAATATGAAACGGAAACTGGGAGTATGTGGGGGATTATGTTCAGAGCTTCTTACCCAGGTGCACCCAGACAAAATCAACGCGCAAGCGCAGACCGAAGATGAGCATGCCACTCAAGTCCCGATTGCCTACAGTCCCCCTCAAGTAGGTAGATTATGGGGTATGTGGGGACCTTATTATAATATACCCAAAGCCATATCCTATCTACTGAAGGGCGACTATACCATGTTGTCCCTGGCAGTGGGAGCCATGCATTGTGAGCGTATTTGCCTAACGGAGTTGAAGGGATGGCAGTTTAAACGCACGAGCGATGCCGACGTGTCTTTGTTTTGTTCGGGGTTGGCCGTCAGGCAGAGCCTCGCAGCTCTTGCAGAAGATGCCTTCAAGCTGGCCAGGGGCTGAGCAACGTGTGCAAAAATCTCCGAGGTTCTTGTACCGATTGCTGCAGGCTTCATCCGCCTACGAAGTCTTGAACGATGAAATCGAGCGCAGATCATACGAGCCCTCCCCAGATGCAGAGGTAACAATTGCAATAACAGTAGCAATGATAGCTGGAATAAATAGTAATCATAGCTATGGTCGTGCTAATAGTAGTGGCAGGCAATTCAACAGTAGTGCTCTTAATAAGAGTACTACTCCTGATGGGAGTTCAATGCCCCATTGCATCGCATTTCAGGACCGACAGCTGTACTTGGACTGGGTCCGCACGGAGAAGCCCAAAGCAAAGCCGAAGCCAAAGCCGAAAGCAAAGCATGCCACGCATATGCCCATGGCTCAGTGCTATTGGAATTATTCATAGGGTATAATGGAAAACAACATGGAAACTACTTTAGCATAATGGGAATTATGCTGGGATATTACTTATAAACTTACGGGGTTTACTAGGGAATAACGGAATATGGAGTAGGGGTTCTGTACAGATTCTATATTCCCTCATTCCCTACTAAGTACCAGTAAGGCGACGGGGGATTGAAGCTAAGCAACACTGTTGCTTAACATGCGCTTGACCTTAATTTGAATTAAACATTCCATGACATTCCCAAGCAGCTTCCTAGCGACAATGCTGCCCAGCTCAGCCGAACAAGATGAGTAGTGTCAGTAGTGTTTTTTTGGTGGTTGA